CCTGGGATCGAGCCCCACATTGGGCTCCCTGCTCCGCGGGGAGCCTGCTTCTCCCTCTCCCACTCCCCCTGCTTGTGTTCCCTCTCTTGCTGTCTCTCTGTCAAAATAAATAAATAAAATCTTTAAAAAAAAAAAAAAAATATTTTGATGGCCTTTACAAAAGGCAGAAGAGTTGTTAAGCTAAAGGGGAAATCCACTGCAATATCTCTGCCTCTTTAGATTCACAGGACTCTTCAGAAGCAAACACAATCAAAGAAAGACCACATCCCAACAGTATTGATGGAGATGAGAGTGAAGAAGATCCACCTGAACGTAAGCCAAGCAAACTCAAGAGGAGGCAAGTTGCATATTACCTCTCTCCACGGTGTGGTAGCATAAACATTTGTGTCCGTGAGGGAGTGGCTTTAAATGCTTGTTATATTGCAGTACTGTTAATCCTATGAGGAGAAAAGACAAGACATGCTAGCAAGACGCTGCATCTTTGAACACCCAGCAAATCCCAACTCTTACTCTGCCACAGTTTCTCGTTTCTAAAATGGAACTGCTGCTTTTTTTATGAGCTCATTGGGAAGACAAAAACTAGCATGTAATATATCTGACAGTAGCTATCAATGGATGACAGCTTTTAACTAATAGATAAGTTGATATGATTTCTCTCAAGGAAGTTCTATTAAGTGCTATGCCCAGAGTTACACAGCAAAACAATGGCAGCTCCAAGTCTAACACCCAGACCAACTCTTCTGGAAGCAGTGCTAGTATACTGTTGATAATAAAATTAAACAAGTAGCAAGTAATATAGGTAGGATATGGTTAAATGCTAATTCCGTAAAATACAAGAAAAGGATGGACATTGCAGAACTCAGATGTTAGCTAGTAACATTTTATTTCTTTGACAGGATATGAAGTGTTCCACATAAGACTTTTATGTTCCATACAGCTTCTAAAAAAACAATATATAAGCTTTGGAGGCTCAGTAACTTAGTATATACATAAAAGCATGCCTCCATTGTGTTCTTTCTACCTGGTATACAGTGCTGGTTAATTCCTCCTTTAGTTCCTGGAGGCAGAGACTAGGTTACACTTCTGGAACCTCGTAAGTCCACCGTAAATGTTCAGTGACCTTAACTTAATTTGTAAGAATTATTTCTCACCTTTTTCTCTTACTTGGTACTGTCACCAGGTAGTAGGGATCACTAGAAGGCATCCCTAATAGATCGATGATCATGGGTTACTTATTATCACTTGTATCACAACCTTATTCTTCTTGATATATATATATTTTTGTAATTTTTTTGGTTGCTTTGATACTTCTCAAATGCTTCTGTCTTCATTTTTAAGGAAAACTAAAAATATCACTCTAGGAGATTAGTTTAAGGCTGCAGTTTTTACAGGTGTTTTTCCAAAGGCAAATGGAGGGGTCTGTATTAGTGCCATGTTCAAGAACAGAGATAATTGGGATTGAGTACTTATTGCTGTGTTCCAGACACTGCTGGGTACTTTATCATATTTGGAAAATCTGATTAAACTACTCTTTCCTGTCTTCCTGGATTTGGGAGCTGTGGTTGACTGTTGCAATAGGAAAGTGTGTGTAGGTTGACTGTATGTATCTTTTGATATTTGCCTGCACTGGTGGGCTCTGGCTTATCGCTGTTTACCTCTTGTTTATTTGTTTAGCCACGAACTGGACATTGATGAAAACCCAGATTCAGACTTTGATGACAATGGGTCCCTTCTAGGATTCAAGCATGGCTCAGGACAAAAGTAATTATATATAAATATAACGGAAATACTGTGGTCTTCCTGAAATTGTTAACACTTCAGATATCTTCAAGTTCTCTGATATTCAAATAGCTAATGATGGTTATAGATTTGATAGAATTTGAGATATTACAGTTAAAACACTAACCTCTCATAGAAAGATTACTGCACATTTGATATATTGATGTGTTGTTAACTCAGTTGTACTTCATAGCAATCTAATATCATTATTACAATTTCATGGATAAAGCAGCTGCAGCCCACAGAGGTGTGACTTGGTCAGGATCACATCGAGGATTCAAGCCAAGCTCTTTTCTAAGCACGGTTCCCTTTTTCACCTTGCATCTCACATGTCTACCTTTGTATACATCTGATATGTAAAGGGAGCATGTCATGAAAAGTTCAAATCTGCAGGAGCCTTTTTTCTTTTTTATTATGAAAACATTAAAACTCAAAACAGAAGTAATAAAGCGTTACTTAGCCTCAGGCTAAGTAGGATCCTGGAAGTCAATTTCTGGTCCAGCATTTATTGTAAGCTTTAATTTTGAGGTCATCTAGAGGTGATCAAACGTTGCACTAACCAGTTCATCCTAATAGTCTCATGCTAATTTAGTGGTTTACACTGCTAACTGGAATATTCATGTCCCCTCTCTTGGACTCTGCTATACCTGCTGTCCAAGCACCTGAAAAACAAAGGTAATTAGAAGTATTTTTGCTTGATTTGATGAGTGATGCTTATCCATTATAGGAGGAAAAAACCAAACACCTTCTAGTCTTTTAAATCATTCCTCAGAGGTAGACAGTGTTTGGCATATGTCCTTCCTAATTTACTCATGTGTTTTTATGCTTATGTACATATAAACAGGTTACTCCCTTTTTATAAAACACAAAAATAGAATCATATTATACATGTTCTGCAGCTTGCTTTTTTTTTCCCTCAACAATGTACCATGAACCTCCTGACTTATCAGTACATGCACATTTATCTAGTCCTTGTGTGTTTAATTGACCACCCTGTATGTACTTCTAGGTTGTTCCTAAGATCTAGGCATATGCCCTTGAGGTTCCCCACAAGGTTTTGCATTTACCAATAGTTCATTCCTACTTACTGCTGAATAGTGTTCACTGTATGGATATATCACAGTTTTAACCATTCATCTATGCAATAGGACATTTGGATTGTGTGTGATATTTTGCTATTACAAATAAAACTGCTATGAACATTTGTATACAGAAAGTATAAGTTTTCTCTGGGATTAAATGCCCAAGCATTTAAATCTGAGATTTATAGGAAATCTGAAACTGAAGAAAATATAAGAAAACTAAATTATATATAAGAAAACTGAAGGGTCTTTTGCATATAGCATGAAGACTGAACTGAGTAGTTAAGGCACACTAAAGTCTTACCATTTATGTCAGCTTGCACCAGTGATTTAAACCAAGATTAAAGTCTTTGATGTTTCTAAGGCGTGAGACTTATTTTGTTAGTTGTGAAATTTTAACTGATACCTATGTATTATGAAGTCAGCAAGAAAAGGGCATAGATCTCAAAATTGACTTATAAATTGAATCCAAATTAGTTCAGAAATACATGCTCATAATTATAATACTATGAATATATTTTAAACTATCAGTTATCTCTTCCTTATGGTACTTGAAGTCAGTTGCAGCTCATATAAGCATTTAAAACTAAAGATCCTAAAGATAAGTAATATAAAATATTTTCCCAATATTGCCATGTTTAAATTTCTGGCAGAATTTATTTCTACCCACATATAATTTTATTGAGAAATTACTTGGGTGGCTCTTGCTAGTATACATTTGTGGAGATTTATTCTGTTACCTGGGATTTAATTTTTCTTCTATTTAGGATTCCCAATTCTACTTAAAAAGGATAAAATTGGGGCGCTTGGGTGGCAAAGTCGATTGAAGGTCCAACTCTTGGTTTCAGCTCAAGTCATGATCTCAGGGTCGTGGGGCAGGGCTCCATGTTCAGCACGGAGCCTGCTAAAGTCTCTCCCTCTCCCTCTGCCCCTTCCCACTGTGTGAGCGTGCTCTGTCTATAAAATAAATAAATCTTTTTAAAAAAAAAAGAAACGCATAAAATTGACTTTTTATAAAGGTTTATAATATGGCTAAAGATAACACCTGACATTTAACACTCAACTGTTCAGGAGTTTATAAGTGCTAAATTGTATATTACACTTTAAGTTTCTAATAGTCTGTGGGACTGTGGAAGAGGTACTTAAATGAGGCTCGATAACAGTCAAAGAAGTCTTTGTAGCACATCTATATGATTTAGGACTAGAAAAATTCAGATGGCTAGATCAGCAGATATTCTCTAATTATTTTGATAATAGGGGTTTAAGCTCAGATTAATTTAGGTTAAAAAAATAGTGACCACTTTTAAAATAATTCATATCAACAATAGCCAAACTATGGAGAGAGCCCAAATGTCCATCGACTGATGAATGGATAAAGAAGATGTGGTACATATATACAATGGGATATTACTCAGTCATCCAAAAGAATGAAATCTTGCCATTTGCCATGACGTGAATGGAGCTAAGAGTGTATTATGCTAAGCAAAATAAGTCAGTCAGAGAAAGACAAATACCATATGACTTCACTCATACGTGGAATTTAAGAAACAAAACAGATGGACATATGGGAAGATGAAGAATAAAAAAGAGAGAAACAAACCATAAGAGACTCTTAATGATAGAGAACAAACTGAGGGTTGATGGAGAGAGGTGGGTGGGGAATGGACTAGATGGGTGACAGATATTAAGGAGCGCATCTGTGATGAGCACTGGGGGTTATATGTAAGTGTTGAATCACTGAATTCTACTCCTGAAACCAATATTGCACTGTATGTTAACTAACTAGAATTTAAATAAAAATTTAAAAGATAAAATAAATAAAATAATTCAAATGTACCCAAATATGTATTAAAGCACTTTGGTATCATCTCACCATGAGAAAAGATTATATTTCCCTAACGTGCAGTGGGGTTATATTTTTCTGCTATTTCTTTATTACATTTTAACATCTGCTTTCTGTTACATGTAAGGTATGTTGATATCCCCAACTGGTGTTTCACATTTACTTGGAAATTAGCATATAACCAAGACCTTAAACTCCTCTACATTCAAACTTTATTTCATAATTGTTATAATTTAGAAAAATAAAATTAAAATAGTGGCTGCTAGTAGAAAAATAGTGAAAATTGTCAGTTTTATTCTCTTTTCATATAAGAAAACTCATAGAACTTAAGGTTTGAGTCAACTTCCTTTGGTTTGGTCACAGATACGGAGGAATTTCAAATTTCAGTCATCGGCAGGTCAGATACCTACAGAAGAATGTGAAGTATAAGTCAAAGTTCCTGGACATGAGAAGACAAATAAGTATGAAAAACAAACACATTTTCTTTACTGAAGAATCAGAAAAAACGTTCAAAAAAAGCAAAACTTTGACTAAGGTATGTATAAATTTTGTTCTTTATTTATAGATAAAATTTCATTTTGTAAGCTTGACTCCCTAAAATTTTTTTCAAGTGGAAATCCTGTTTCTACCAGATATAAGGGTACCTAAAATTGTCTTCCCCTTGCTTCCTAAAGGCATATATCATGTGAACCAAATTTGAAATAGAATAAGTTGGTAGTAATACGAAAAGGGGATGTTTTGAAAGCTAGTGTCAGTGTCTGGGAAGATAAATGGATAAAATTGCTTCGTATACATAGTAACAGAATTTCTCATCTGCCTCAGGCTAAGTAGGATCCTGGAAGTCAATTTCTGGTCCAGCATTTATTGTAAGCTTTAATTTTGAGGTCATCTAGACGTGATCAATCAAACGTTGCACTAACCAGTTCATCCTAATAGTCTCATGCTAATTTAGTGATTTACACTGCTAACTGGAATATTCATGTCCCCTCTCTTGGACTCTGCTATACCTGCTGTCCAAGCACCTGAAAAACAAAGGTAATTAGAAGTATTTTTGCTTGATTTGATGAGTGATGCTTATCCATTACAGGAGAAAAAAACAAAAACACCTAGTGAGCAAAACCTTTGTATCAATTACCTCTCCAGCAGCTCCTTCAGTCAACAAAACAAAATCTCAGACCCTGTGATGACTTTGTTTTACCCTTAGGATACATTATCCTTCCCAACTTCAGCATTCTTCCAAAACATGCTACAGATTTATAGCTGGCTTTATTTTTGTTGTATTTCGGATGGGTTGGCTGCTGGTGATATTTTAATATTTTAGTGGCCCTGGTTATATCTGGAACACATTTCCCAATATCAGACCAGTCAGTCTTATAGAACTTTTTACATGTTGGATGTGATAGTCCCCATACATCCATCTGTAGACAAATAGCAGAAACATAACTGCTAAGTATTGCAAAGGAGAAAAGAAATATGGTTGTTGTATCATTAGATATCTGACTGATGTATAGGTATAGTCCCTTTGAAGATTCTGGGTTGTTGTCTATGCTCATCTTCGAATTTCCTAACTCATAGAAAGGTCACGAAGATCTGTTATGAAGAATATTCTTGTTACAGAAGTTTGCAAGGAAGTACATATTATCTGTTAACACCTTGTTAACGTTTCTAAGAAATCCAGTTTTTAGGAATCATTTTACTGGCCTACTGCCCCATTAAAGGGTATCTTGCATTCTAAGATAGCACTCTTTTTCTTACAGATAGATGGGCACTAGATCTTTTTAGAGTTTATCTTTGATGCTGAGTACAGTTAAACATAGCCTGGGCCATTGAAGAAAGGTCTGTATAATTTGAAAAGCTAATAATAATGACTCAACAATTAGTAGGTACATTTGTAATGGTAATATCACATTGTATGGTTATATTGTTAGACGCCTTTTATGGAAAGCTACTGGGACAGTTCAGCTTTATCCTCTTAGTGTTAATTGATTATAGGAAGTTCATTGTCAAGTGTTTAATCTGATACTTTCTTCCTTTTAAAGAAATTTTTAATAAGATCATGATATGTCCAGATAGGAAAGTGTAGTTAGAATTACTTACGTATAATTAGCTTGTATGATACAGTGTACTTATTAGAGCTAATAATTACAACAGCTTCTCAGTGAAGTCCAAATGGTAAAACAGGTAGGAATATTCTATGTAATTTGGAATTCATTCATGCTTGTGACGACTTAAAATTTCAGGTAGAAAAATTCCTAAAATGGATTAATGAACCAATGGAGGAGGAAGCACAACAGGAGTCAGTTTCTCATGACAATGTGCAAGACACCTGCACAAGCAGTGATTCAGAGGAACAAGAAATGTCTGTTAAAAAAGGTGATGACCCACTGGAGACAAGTAATCCAGAGCCTGAAAAGTGTCATGCCATGTCTTCAGCTGATGAACTTGAAACAAAAAAAAATGAAGGAGACAGCACAGTAGTAGCTATTACAGATAAGGAAGATGGTGTTACTCAGATTACACCAGATTCTCTTCAGGTAGAAACTGAAGGTAAGACTAAGTATGCTTCAACTTGCTAATGAGTTTAGATAATGTGCTTCCCTAGTTTTCACTTATGAATCATCTATACCTAAGGATTCACTGCTGTTTATTTTTCAGTAGAGAGAAGGCACAGCAAGTGTAAATATGCTAGTGGTTATGTTTTGGCACCAGAACACTACATTCTTGGCTGAGCAAGCATGACAAAACAAAAGGCCAAACACATGGGAAAACTGAGTACCTCTGTCTATGCCATTAAGTATTGGTCTCTGCCACTAACCTCTTCCCTGGGCTAAAAGTGACTGGCGGTCCCTTTTAGCCCTCTTGAAATTTGGCATTGCCCTGGTTTTCCTTTTGATAATTCTTTTTTTTTTTCCCTTTGGCTTTTGTGGTATGGTTGTTGGTAGTGGTAGTTATTGTTTGGATGGTACACTGACATAAGTTATTTATAGTAGTTGCCTGTAATGAATGGAGAACAGAGTCACATTTCAACTTTATGCCCTTTTTGCACTGTTTGAATGTATTCTACAGTAAATGTTCTGTTATAATTGTACTCAGTGGAACATTGAGGCTTTTATGGGTTAGGAAATTTTCATTTGATATGTATTCATTTTTATTGATGAATGATTTCAGACTTGCCCTAATGAAACAATTATATTGTGATGGTCTCTTTTCTTAATTTAGTATTGAGGAAAATACCTCATTTGAATCTTAATTTTTTTTTCTGTGTGTGTGTATATGTGTGTGTGTGTAGAGCTGTGTTCTGTGTATCATATACTTCTTTGCCTTTCTAAAAAGCATACTTAAGGTAGTTTTAAATTTTTTTATTGTCATGTACAACTGATGTTCAAGGGGTACTTGCAGATTTCTAAAATGCCTTCATGTGCCTTATTTTCATTTAATCTATAAAATAACCCAGTGAGGTAGGCGGGATTATCCTCATTCTAAAAATACAGAAAGTAAAGCTCAGAGAAACTAAGAAATTTGCCTGAGATCACAGAGCCAGTAGGTGGCATAGCTAGGACTCAATACCAGGTTGTCTGATTCCTCAGTCCCATTTTCCCGCCCTCTCCTACTTCCCTAATTACCTTGCCTCATAGTGCTGGTAGTTCTCAGCTGGGGTGATACCACCACGTCAGGGGCATTTGGAAGATGTTGGCTGTTAGAATGACCTGGGGGTGCTGGCATTTAGTACTTTGGGTTGCTTAACATTATGTCATGTACATGATGGTCTTGGACAGTAAGGAACTGTTCACTCAAAATGTTAGTGTCCCCTCTCCTAAAAAACTCTTAGTACATTTTGCTGTTGATGACACCTTGTGCTCTTTGCAATGATCAGATGACCATATTAAGACATAGTCCTATCCTTGAGGATCATTTAAATGTAGTAGTTTTATTTGCCAACACCAATTCTTGTCATTATACTTAGCTGTGACAGCACTCTTTCTAAGTTGTTTCTAATCTGCTCAGAACTTAAACCAAATAACCAAATTAATAAAAATTGTTTAAGAAAAAGTCAATCTCTGAATGAATGAGATCCTTTTCTATTAACATTAAAGCAGTGACCTGTTTTAATTTCCTGGAGGCCATACAACCTTCAGGTCACATCTGGATTTAGAGGATTGACCACGCTGAAAGTTAGGGGTTTAATCAGTCCTTGAAGATTTTGTTTTAAAGAAGGAAAGAGAAATGTTTGGATTTCTATAATTGACCAACTAAAGCAGTGTCTTCTCTAACAGAAGTAATAACTTTTATACTTACATAGTATCTCTACATATGTCCTAATAATCATGTGAAGTAAGTAGGTGAAATATTATTCATTCATTCATTTTGAAGAATTAAAAATTGGATCTTAGAGAGCCTGGGTTACTGTCCAAGCTCAGGGAACTTATAAACAGCAAAATAGAGGCTGTAATCTAAAGTCAGTGCTGTTTGCAGTATGCCCTCCCGCTTCTCCTGGGGTGCCGTCGCCTGCATGGTCTGCAGTACATTCCCAAACTGTAAATACTGAATGTGGCTGCACTCTTTAGATGAATTCATCTATGATTGCCTTTTTTCATAGTGAGCATCTGTATTTATATTCTTTTATTTTAGCAGAAAGTAAAAAGAAGAAGAAGAAGAAAAAAAACAAGAACAAAAAGGTAATTGGTCTGCCTCCTGAGATAGCTGCTATTCCTGAGCTGGCAAAATACTGGGCCCAGAGATATAGGCTCTTCTCCCGTTTTGATGATGGGATTAAATTGGACAGAGGTAAAAACTATATATAATGTTTAACACTATTTTGAAATAATTTCAGACTTACTGAAAAGTGGCAGGAATAGTAATAATTTTTCATAATGCCCTTTACCCAGATTCGGCTATTTTTAACATTTTGCCACATTTGCTTTATCATTCTGTGTGTGTTTCTGATCGAGTTGCTCCTACCCCTTGATACTTGTGTGTGTATTTTCTAAGAACAAGGATACCTTATGTAACAATGGTAAAATTACAAATTTAACATTGCTACAGTATTGTCATCTGTAGTCCAGACTCTAGTTTAATCTGTTATCCTAATCATGTCTTTTATGGCATTTGTTTTTACTTCCAGTATAGGATCGTGTATTGCATTTAGTTTTCATGTTTCTTTAGTTTCCTTTCATCTGGAATAGTTCCTCAGCCTTTTTGTCTTTCATGACTTTGACATTTTCCAAAGAAAAGTGGCCAGTTATTTTCAACAGTATCTCTCAATTTGGATATATGTGTTTTTAAAACTTCACATTCAGGTTTAATCTATTCTTAATCTATATTTTAGGATAGATAGCAAAAGGAATCAATAGATTATTAAGCAGAACATCTGATGATGAAATACCTAGTGCAGAAAGACACTAATGAATTAACACTGGAAACCAAGTTCTTCTGTGAGTGTTCCTGCTATGTCTTGAACACCTTCCTTAATTCAATTCTACAAATTGATGCTTAGTTTCATATTGGGGCTACTTAAACAGTGGTCTTTATTAACTGTCAAAATTAGGAGGCTTGATCTGGGGTTAGAATTTTGGGTTCTGTGACCTCTTATAATTATTTACAAAATGTTGTGTATTGAAGAAAGTGCATAGGAGTTTGGAGAAATAAGACTGGATAAAAGCTGTTTAATTCTATAAAAGAAGTGTATATTTTTATTCTTCCAGCAATAAGGAGCCATTTAAAGTTTTGGTAAGGAAAGGGAACAGGAAAATTGTTGTATCATTTTGTTCAGAGAAATATCTTTCTGAAAAAAATGTTAATCCTATTGGGAAAGGAGGTCAATTTGCTTACCCGTTAGAAATGAAATAACGAGGGGGCGCCTGGGTGGCTCAGATGGTTAAGCGTCTGCCTTCGGCTCAGGTCATGATCCCAGGTTTCTGGGATCGAGTCCCACATCGGGCTCCCGGCTCAGCGGGGAGCCTGCTTCTCCCTCTGACCCTCTCCCCTCTCATGCTGTTTCTCTCTCGCTCGCTCTCTAAAAAATAAATAAATAAAATCTTTAAAAAAAAAAAAAAAGAAATGAAATAATGAGGAAACTCAGTGGAGTTTGGGGAGTTGGCCAGTTGGATAGCTAACTTTCCATTTTCCATAATAGTCAGTAGTTAATACTTCAAACAGAAAAACTAAAATTACATTCAATTATTGGAAGTATATTACAAGAGAATCAGGCAAGAACTGAGGCGGTTGCTTTGGTGGAAATTGGGAATGGAAATGGTACTGCTCCTTTGTATAATGAGCTTTGTGGAACTTTTTAAAAACTAAGTAATTTATAATTTTTGAAAAAGAGAGGGGCGCTTGGGTGGCTCAGTCGTTAAGCGTCTGCCTTCAGCTCAGGTCATGATCCCAGGGTCCTGGGATCGAGCCCCACATTGGGCTCCCTGCTCAGCGGTAAGCCTGCTTCTCCCTCTCCCACTCCCCCTGCTTGTGTTTTCTCTCTTGCTGTGTCTCTCTCTGTCAAATAAATAAAATCTTTTAAAAAAAAGAAAAAAAGAGAAACTAAGTTTTGGTTAAGTATATATAATATATAGTAATGTTAGCTATGTTTATGCTTGGGTTGGCTTCTTGAAACTGAATATCTTAACAGAAATACTCTTCTTCCCTTCACAGAGGGCTGGTTTTCAGTTACTCCTGAGAAGATTGCTGAACACATTGCTGGCCGGGTGAGCCAGTCCTTCAAGTGTGACATTGTAGTAGATGCATTTTGTGGAGTTGGAGGAAATACTATTCAGTTTGCCTTAACAGGAAAGAGAGGTAATTAGCCATCAAAGGAAGAAAAGTACTTTCTTTTTAATTTATTCAGTAAATGTTTCATTTTGCTTTAGCCTATCTTTGCTGAGATTTAATATATAATTAGTAATTTAATGCCAAATTTTTAAAATAATAATAGCATATAGTAAGCATACGCTTTGTATCACATACTGGTGTAAGTGCTTAATATGTATTAATTTATTAGTCAGTGATCTTGTGAGGTGTATCTTTTACTGTCTGCGTTTCATAGATAAACTGGGAAATAAAGAGATGAAATAACTTGCCCAAGATTACACGGACACAGCTTGGTGAAGCCAAGATTATAACATTATATAAAACTAAAAATTTTAAAATGGGAAACCATTCTTTAGAAGAAGAATGGACAGGGAGTTCCAGCTTTGCCACCTTTATGACTTTGGACATCATTTAACCTCAATTTAAAGGAGACTTTAAATTGGTAACCTCTGTAATACCTTTCAGCTGTGCATTGTAAAACTCTAGAAATCTTCTAAGTATTAGATCATTCTTGTGGTTGTTTGACTTTGGAATCATGAAAAAGAAACCTTCTATCACTATTTATGTGCCAGGAACTATGTCAAGCAGGTTGTATGTGTGCTATTTCCTAAGGAAAAGAAAACTATAAAATTGGATGGTCTGCCCAAATGGGCATAGCTGAGTCATGAAGCCAGGATTTTTACTCCATTTTTTCTGATATCTCTGTTCTTTTTAAATTCTTTTAAAAGTGTAGTATATGTGATTTTTCAAAGATATCAATTGTTAAGTCATACTCTGAAGATGCTTTTTTCCCCCCAACATCTTTGTATTATACAAATAGTTTCCATTTCAGTGAATTACAGTTAAGTCTCATTAATTTATATAAAGTTTTTAATATTAACTAGGAAAGTATGATTCTGGAAGCATAATATAGAAGCTAGAAAATGGTGAAGGAAAACTTAACATTGAAGACCCAGACCCATGCTGATGAACTGTAACCCCTGTTAAATCATGCCCTAGGGCATGACGCTTCTCACCTTATATGGTCTCCTAATAGCCTGAATGAAAGTTGTCTTCACATAACTGGAATAGGACTTATTTTCCTGTTTTCCGTAAATTCATAATTTACTCTCAAAGTTCTCTGCGCTTGCCAGATTAGCCAGTCCTGTGAGCTCAAATCAGTGTTTATTGCATTAAAATGATTTTTTCCTCAAAATTTTTCAAATTTGTCTTCATTTTGACATTGTATCGTAACATGACAATTAAAATATCTGCCCTATGATACAGTAGCAAATAGATCTGGAAATTTTTTCAAAATATTATGGAAACCATCCATATTGTAGATTTATATTTCTATGAATATACGTCTCTCGCCAAGGCTTTCTGTAGCTTAGTACACATTTGGTAAAGAAAAATATCTAATGTGGGTCCAAAGCTAAAGGAAGGCTACTTCTGTCATGTTCTCCCAGACCCAATTGTTGTCTAGGCATATACTCAACTGAATGGTTAGAGAATCCACAAAGTTTTGCACTTCGATGTTAAAGATTTTTTTCCCTTTCTGTGTACTTCAGTGTTACTGCTATCCAATAGAATTTTCTGTGATGATGGAAATGTTGTGTATCTGCACTGTCCAGTATGATAGCCACTAGCCACATGTGGCTTTTGGGCATTTGAAATTTGGCAGTGTGGGGGTGTCTGGGTAGCTCAGTGGGTTAAGCAGCCAACTCTTGATTTCAGCTCAGGCCATGATCTCGGGGTCCTGGGATGGAGCCCTGTGTCAGGCTCCACGCTCAGTGGAGAATCTGCTTGAGAATTCTCTTTCCCTCTCCCTCTCCCCCTCCCCCGGCTCATGCGTGCACATGCATACTCTCTCTCTCTCAAATTAATAAATAAGTCTTTAAAAAATGTGGCAGTGCGACTGAGAATCTAAATTCTTTATTTCATTTTAGTCAGTTTAATAACCACGTATGGCTAGTGGCTACCATTACTGGACCATTACTGGACAGTGCAGTTCTGTATAATGTCATCCAGCATTTGCCAGCATTTCATTTACATGATAGACTGAGTGTTTACATTCTGTTAGGCCTAAAAACAAAGCGGCCTGTAAGAGAAATAAAGATGAAAACAGGAGGATTGACTGAATATATTTGATGTTGAAAATCATTTTCCTATTGAGTTTCTAGTGTTGTCAGCATATCTTTCCATCTGTCTCTGTACTACAAATGGAGCAGATTGAATAGCTAAAAAGGACATTTTCATCTTTTCTCTTACGAATGTTAGTTTACTTAGAACAGAAAAAATAGCATTGTAAACGCATGATTTCAACATGTAATTGGAGCGTATATTCATTGTTCAAGTGATTTATTTAGTGCATTATTTCTCAAAAGTTAACAAATTTTAAAAAACGTCATTTTCTAGAAAACAACTATGTTTCCATGACAACCATGGTGTATGCATCAGGGTTCCATTTAGCCCTTCCAAATATAAAATATTGCCACCAGCACACTGGTGCACATACAGGTGCATTTGAGTTATTGACTGCCAGATAGGAGTGAGCTAAAATTAACTTATGTTTGCATTGCTAAGTATGAAATTGCAATAAATTAAATGAAAACCCATTCGATGAAAACATAACGTTGTCGGTTCCCTCTTCCCAAGATGTCTCATTAAACATTATCGGCAGATGTTTTTATGTTTCTTCTTCATAAGCTGGCTATATGGGTTTGTCAAAATGTGTTTTAATTTGCTTTTCTGTAGAAGTTGTCAAATTTGTCTTTGGAGGCTGCATCTCATTTTAGGAAATCGGTCATTTCTGAAATCCTAGTGTTACAGGCTTGACATGCAGTCAGTGACCTTTCCAAGTGTTTGCTGCTCAGGCTGTTCAGAGCACAGTGCTGAGCATGTGTTCAACTCTCAGTAGATACTATGTGGCAACTGTCACTACTTACTCTGGAAAAGCTGAGTGACACAACTTTGAAAGCCAGGTTCTTCAGTCACATTTTCTTGGTACTACACAAGTGAATCTTTCTAATTTAGATTAAAATTTTTAGTTAAGGTCTTTATCTCTGGTATATGTGCCAAACTTCCTTAGTCTTTAAGTTCTTATACTGGGGCGCCTGGGTGGCTCAGTTGTTAAGCGTCTGCCTTTGGCTCAGGTCATGATCCAGGGTCCTGGGATCGAGCCCCGCATCGCTTCTCCCTCTCCCACTCCCCCTGCTTATGTTCCCTCTCTTGCTGTGTCTCTCTCTGTCAAATAAATAAAATCTTTAAGAAAAAAAAAGTTCTTAGACCGAGAAAAAAATCAGATTGCTCAGAAGATGAACTGTTCTATAGGTCAGTGTCATTGACTGTTCTTTTCCCACTTTTAGTGATTGCCATTGATATTGATCCTGTGAAGATTGATCTTGCTCGCAATAATGCAGAAGTTTATGGAGTAGCAGACAAGATAGAATTCATCTGTGGAGATTTCCTCCTGCTGGCTTCACATTTAAAGGCTGATGTTGTGTTTCTTAGCCCCCCTTGGGGAGGACCAGACTACGCTACTGCGGAGACCTTTGACATCAGGACCATGATGTCTCCTGATGGATATCCTTTGGAAGGCTGAGAGTTTACTCGAACAGTGGTTATGGAGAGAAAGGTGTGCATGTGAGTGACTGTGTGTGTTGTGTGTGTGTGTTTCATAGAGGGATTAGTGAAGTGGGATTCCAGTTTATTTTACATAAAAAGCCAGTATGTAAAAATTAAGTAGTGGTTGATTTCCAAGAGGAATGGCAGATGTGAAGTCATATTTCCTTCGGGTACTGTCCAATTTTATCATTAGAAAACAAGAATTAGGAAATATTAATTGCTTGAAATTATTGTCTTGGAAATTGGGAGTTTCCTCAAGACCTGTCCGTAGACTCTAGGTGACCATCCCTTAACTTTTCTTCAGCTTACACTGGCTTGTGCTAATTCTCTTTGCATCTTCAAATGTTTCCTGTCACTCTTCCAAGATACTGAAGCAAACCCTTCTTTCATAAAGAATAGTTTTTATTATTTGTCCCTTTCTTTATCTCTCCTCCCCAGAGGAATCATCTGTTTGACTCTAACAGGAAGCATGTTTCTAAATTGCTAATTAAAATTTAGAATGTAATCCACAACGACCAGATTTACTTGTCTTTATTCTTCACTGGAAAGAGGTAGTATTATGCTTTCCTGTTCTATTTTCATAATTAGGAAATGGCAGAAAGAGAAAGTGTATTTCTGACTCTTGGCTGCTTTCCACAAGGATAATCGAATGAATAGGCTTAACTTCCAATCTCTGACCCATCTGAATTACAAAATCTGCTACTTAATTCTCTTTTAGGTTCCATTAGAGGATCTAAATGTGTGTCTCTTAGTTACATATCAAAATACATTTGGGTTATGACATAAGAACATATCTCTGATCAGAAATTAACTGCTGTTTTTGTTACCGTTCCTTAACTGTTGTCCACCTTTGAAATCTTCAGGCTTTCCCGGAAGATCACTAATAATATTGTTTATTTTCTTCCAAGAAACGCTGATATTGACCAGGTAAGCCACTAGTAAAGCACTTCTATGAGCCTCCAGCATAACTTAAAAAAATGGGCAGAAAAAAGATAGAAGGCCTTCCTTTGAGAACGTATTTATGAGAAGTCTCTGGCTTTTTGACTATTACTAGAAAACTGGAGGTGTTTGGCAGTTAAATCCATGCCTGTTTCATCCACTTCATCTCCACAACTCCCGGAGGACATATACATAAATTAGAACCCTTTGGGCTTTTAATTATATGTTCTGAAAGGATAATGTGGAAAGGGTAGTATGTTGTGTTTCAAATGCACATGCCTAAACTAGCCAAGATCTGTCTTTATTGAGACCTATCTTGAGAGTAGAGGTTTTAGGTATTCCTCAAAAGAGGAGCCTAAATAGAAATATACAGACAGATAAAACTTCAATTTGGCCAGAAGCAATTTTAACTATAGTCTTGGGATGTAGGACACTTGACTAATAGTTAAATGAGTTAAATGTCCTTATGCCATTCTCCCCATAAACACTTATTTAATAATGTTATTTTTTTCTCTTGTAGAATTAGATTTGGTATAACTGCCTCATAAAGATTCAGTGATGTCTTCATGTTTTTGTTGATTTGCTTTCTATAAACACTTACTGCATATCTAATATGTAATAAGCATTCTGTTGAAAATCTTTTGTCTTTTTATATTTTAAATTTTACTGTAGTGTTACTAGCTCTGAGGTTTTTCTTTCTCTCCTATTTGATACTGAGAGCTGACCCTGTCGTTCTGACCTTTTTCATCTTGTTCTGAAGAAATTCTCTCTCATTATCTATTGAACTAAATTTCTCACCACTTTTATTCCTTTTTCTGGGGCATCACTTATGTGGACATTAGTCTTTCATAACTGTATTTCCTGGTGCTTTTTCTCTTCCTTTTTCTTCTGGGAGAGCTGGTCTTCCAACTAGCTGCTCCTTCAGGTATATGTGTTCTATTATCTATCTCATCTATTGTGTTTTTTAGTTCAACTATTATATTCTTTAGACTTAATATCTCTGTACTGTTTTTTGTTTTCTTCTTTTACACTCTAAATCTCTTACTGTTATTTTAAGAAGTTTAAATTCCTAATCTGGTCTATCCTTTCTGAATTTCATATAATTTAGAATCCATTTTGTTTTTCTTCCATGAAATACTTGTCGTCCTCAAATATCTTGTCTTACTGTGTATTGGCTATTCTCAAGTAATGCAGAAGGAGACAGGCTGTGTTTAGGGTCCCTGGGGACCCTTGTAAAAACTGTAACTGAGCCCCACCTCAGAAATTGATCTAACCAGTTTTTTAAAGCTGCCAGATCATTCTAATGTGCAGCCTGGGTTGAGAACCACTGCTGCAGTCTGTGTTAGCCCCAGTGATAACCTCAAGGGATGAAAGTAGGTAAGCTGTGGGGTTGCCAGCCCAGGTCCCACAAGACTACAGGTGTCTCAGGACACAACTCCTCACCTTTGAGGAGGAGCTGGACAAAAGCAGATTTAAAGGCTGTACGCTTTAATCTTCTACCGTCATTCATCAGCTCACTGGTGTGGAGAAGGAAGAGTGAGACAGTGGATATCAGGGATTAGTTCCCACCTGTTGCTCTCAGCTCTTCACAGCAGGATTTCTTTTCAGACTGCCCTACCTTTACTCCTGAACATAGACCAGCGTTCCCAGTTTCTGTAAGTGAGGCAGCATATACCAAATGCAGGGTGATTGGGAGGGAGCACCAAGAGCAGAATTTCTTTTATTTTTTTTTAATTTATTTTAGAGAGAGAACACAAGCAGGGGGAGAGAGAGAGAATCTCAAGCAGACTCCTGTCTGAGTGCAGAACCTGATGCGGGACTCAGTCTCACGACCCTGAGATCATGACCTGAGCCGAAATCAAGAGTTGGCCGCTTCACCAACTGAGCCACTCAGGCGCCCTGAGAGCAGAATTTCTAAGTTCTTATTTTCTTTCTTCCTGTCTTAGCTTCTCACAAGCACAAGCACTTCCCTCCTGCCCTAGGCAGAGGCACTCCCCTCCATCCTACACACACACATTCAGACCATCCTGGGTCTCCAGAGGTTTCTTTTGTTTGGTTTCCCTCTGTTGTGTCAGCATCTTCCTAGGGCTTTGGTCATGGGGACGTAAGTAACAATGCAACCTTCTCATTAAAAAGGTGGAGATTAAATGTCTGGCTCTCTCATGTGATGACCTCAGGAAAGGCTCTAATGATCTAGAACGTAAACTGGACTTTAAAGAAGCTTCGATTATAGGAGTTGAGAAGGTGGCAAGAGCACTAATGACATGAAAGTGAGCATCTGTGAATAATGTTCAGTTAATGGGCTCAAAACGAGAGAGAGATATTAAGAGTCTAACAGACCTAGTTGAGTCTCAGCCCTGCCACTTACTAGCTGTCTGGCGACAGTTCTGAGGCATAAATGAGTATGTGGATACTCAGTACCTCTAGCCCATAAACTCTCAGTAAAGTCCCGTGTATGTGACTTTGAAGATCCTGTTACAAAGTTTTTGTGAGAAGAATGTAAATGTTACTAACACTTTGAAGAGGGCCAGTATGGAAAGATGACATCTTTTCTCTAGAGGATAGAATAGAAGGTTTTATATTTATGAAATGATAGAATCCCAGATAATATATTTTTCTCTTTCTCTTATCAGAAACATATACTCGCTTGAAAGGACATATTCTTGTATCAGTTTGTCGCACTCTCCCGATCTTGGCTTATTTCCTTGGTCTTTGGGACAATGGCTCTCAGCTCTGGCTGCTAATTGGAATTGCCTGAGTGGCTTTTTTTTGAATTGTGGTAAGAGACACCTAACAAAACATGCAGTTTAGTGGCGTTACATACATTCACATTGTTGTGCAAGCATCCCCACCATCCTTCTCAGAACTTCTTCATCTTCCCATGCTGAAACTCTCTACTTTGAAACTCTATACTTTTAAACACTGACTCCCCATTACCTGGCCACCGCCATTCCACGGTCTCCATGAATTTGACTATTCTAGGAACCCCAAATAAGTAGAATCTTACAGCATTTGTCCTTTTTTATCTAGCTTTTTTCACTGAGTGTAATACCCTAAAAGTTCATCCATGTTTGAACATGTGTCAGAATTTCCTTCCTTTTTAAAGCTGAGTAATATTCCATTGTATGTATATGCTACCTTTTGTTTATCCATTCATCCGTGGACATTTTGGGTTATTTTCACCTTCTGGCTGATGTGAATAATGCTGCTATGGGCGCACAGTGTCTATTCCTGCTTTCAGTTCTTTTGGGTATATAGCCAGAAGCGAAACTGCTGAATCATAGAGTAATTCTGCTTAGTTTCCTGAGGACCCACCATACTGTTCTCCATGGCAGCTGAACCATTTTACATTCCTACCAGCAGTTCTTTAAGAGTTGCAGTTTCTCCACATTCGCAGTTTCTCCACATTCTCGCTAACATTTGTTTTTTGTTTGTTGTTGTTTTGTAATAATAGCCATCCTAATGGGTATGAAATGGTATCTTATTGTAGTTTTGATTTGCATTTCCCTGATTACTAGTGATGTTGACCATCTATTCACATACATATATTCTGGGTATTAATCCCTTGTCAGTATATGCTTTGCCCATATTTTTCCCCATTCCATGGGTTGCCTTTTTACTATCTTTTATTTTTTATATCAAATTTGATATTAAGCCATACCTGCTACTTATGTGACTCTGATCTGCATCCTAGACTCCAGATAAGGTTGAGCCTGTTGATTCCATAATTCTTATTTGCCCATGTAAATATTATGCTCTATAACTAGTCTCATAAGAGGTTATATGATCCTTGTATTAAATATTAGATGGGCTGACTTGGATACTTGAATGACAATAGGAAATTTACTACTTATTGCAAAAGTTACAATGAGTACATTTTTTCTAGTTAAATTAACACTTGCCCAAGGAGGAAGTTAACTTTTTTCTTTAACTTGTGTTTTTGGTTTACTTCAAAAACCTACTAGAATCAAGGTTGGTGATTTTACATCTTCTACCTGTAGAGGGAGTAATGACACTGAGGAATAATAAAAGTCAAAAAGGAAATGAGATTTCAAGTACATTATATTGTTTGGTATTGGGATCAAATACAGAAGGAAGTCAGCTTTTCTTTTTAAAATGAAGAAAATCTATCCATATGTAGGATTTTTAGAATGAGAGAAAACGCAGAACTGCAAGAATGAGAGCAGCGTTACAGAGAAGTCAGTTTTTTTGTTAAGGAACATTTAGAATGTCACAGCGACCTGAACTTACAAATGGGCTGGGTTCAGGGCGCCTGGGTGGCTCAGTTGGTTAAGCGACTGCTTTCGGCTCAGGTCATGATCCTGGAGTCCCTGGATCGAGTCCCGCATCGGGCTCCCTGCTCGGCGGGGAGTCTGCTTCTCCCTCTGACCCTCCCCCCTC